ACTAAAAGGTACTAAGGGCTTTCCTTGGTTAAATACAAACAATATCAAACATTGTAATCCAATAGAAATGATGGGACATTATTTCAAAATAAATTTATCTCTGAGAATTCCTTAAAGTATTAAATTAAGTCCAAGCTAGCAATTTAATAGAACTTTTAGTCATTAAAATTGTAAAACTAATAAATAGATACCATTTTGTCAATGTCTGGTTTCACAGATAAATTTGCAATCATTTATCTAATAATTTGCCATCTCAGTATTTGTAAAATACAATAAAATAGTTATGCTATATGAATTTTACAAAAGACAACATAATTGATTTTACATGTTCTATTTCTATGTTAATGAAGACACATATTTCAAAATATATACATATTAAATAAGAAGTAAAAATGTAAATATATTTACAATGATAAAATAATTTTAAAATTAAAAGTAAAGACAAAGGGAAAATGTAACCATTAATATGTACACATGGATAGAAACATTTTTAATAGAATATATAAATTTATAAGTGAATGTGAGAAGACCTAAAAAATGGTACTTTAATCCAACAAATTAATGTATTCTAGATTCAGCCTATTGTTTAAAAGAAGTTAAATATGTGTAATCACATATGACTAATGGCTTTTTAAATTCAGGATATGCATAAAACTCATTTGGATGGTATAAAATGTATGCTATATAAAAACAAATTAAAATCAAACTAACTTGTATTTTTTCCAATTTAAATGAAAAGATAGAATATCTGCTGTTTACCATAGATAACTAATTTAAGATAGGAGTTTAACACATATTTTATTTAAAAATGGAAAAAAACAAACCACATGCCTATCAGAGTAGCTTTAATTAAAACATATGGAGATCATTTTTCATATTATACAAATATATAATGTTAACTATATAGTATTCTGTTGATTTAAGGGCTCCAACTTCCCTATCATGGACTCAACAGTTGCCTCAAGGAAACTACATCTAAATTGAACAATTCTGCATCTATTAGGATATATCTTGGATGTCTTGTAGTGAGGCCTTTACAACCAGTGGATTCAGTTAGTAAATTCAAATATTTTTGCATTATTATAAATAAACTATTTTATTTTCCCCCTTTCCAATAGGTTGTATAGAGGTTTTATCATGGCATGGTTTAGAGAGGATAGATTCCATCTGTTAGCTTCTAGGATTTCTTTATCTATGTGCATGTGTGACTTCCCTTGACTACGTGAATGATTTCATCAGACATGAACCACACTCTGTCATCAGCCTTTCTAATGCTGGCTCTTTTGTTTTCCGCTGCTCATCTTCAACTTCTTAAAAGCATCAAGTAAACAAGGTATCTAAATCTTTTAATCTCACATCCATCCTCAACTTACTACTTTCTCACTAAATCTCTTTAGCAAAGCTGCACACAGCAATGAAACTTCATATCACTTTGGTTGAGATCCTGTGAGCAGCATTTGACATATGACAATTTTTTTGTGTGTGTCTTGAGAAAAAATTATTCCCTGCTTCACATCCAAGACACTATACTCTTTTATTTTTTTACCCCAATAACTCTATAACATTTTAGTATCTTTAGCAGTGGAGTATTTTCATCTTCCAGTATGACAATTCCTTGGGACTTAGTTCTTGACCTTCTACGTAAGTCACTCAGAAGCACTCCTTGAATATCTATACTGTACCAGTCACCCTCTTGTGTTGAGAAAATATCAATGAGTGAATAGACAGCAATCCTTCTTCAGAGCTTAGGTTCTGTTTGTTGAGTGGGTTTATCTTCACCCAGGTTTCATACACTTTTCACTTGGTAAGACTCACAGCCTCACACTGTGTGTCCAAGACAGCTATCTTCTCATCTCTATACCGGACACTTCAAACCAATTATTTTATGTTTCAAAGTTAATACTAAACTGGTCTTATGGTTGGTCTTCATTCAAGATTGTTCCTCCTATCCAGTTCTTCACTTAAGGAATGACATCAATAGAACTTCAGTTGCTGAAGCAAGAAAACTTAAAATCATCATTATCCAATCTATTAAGGAGGCAGTGTTAGTCTTCCTCTATAATGTGTCTGAAATGTATTCACTTTTCTTTAAGCATTCCTGTTCCTCCATCACTTGCACTTACTCATATGAATAAGAGTACTTTATAATGCCTATCAATTTACATAACTTCACTACTTAAAATTACTTAGGATTTGTATTAAACTTATTTACACGAATTTTAGAAGTCCTTGTATTCATTTGAAATGTAGATCTCTTTTCAGTAACTAAACTCCACATTCTTTCTCAAATATACTTTTTCTAATTGTTGAAGGAGATCAAGTATTTTCTTGATCATAGATTTCTTCATATAGCATACATCCTCTGAAAGGTTCATTCTTATGTTTCATTTAGGGAAAAAAAAAACTTTTTTGAGGAGACAACCCTGCTTAATCCTAACTCTATCACAAAATTCAATACACTTGCCAAATGCACTCATGGCAGACACTGCATGGGCACATCTAATAGTTGTGAGCATTCATTGGTATTCTAAGTTATGATGAAATATCTGTCTTCTAGTGTGTGAACATTTTGATGCCAGGAAAAAGTCGTATTCTTCTCATAAATTTATCCTTTGTATTCATCTCAGCATTTGTCACAAAACAGGACTTCATGAACTAATTGTAATGAATAAGTGAATGGATTTTGACASGGCAGAGCCAGAAGAAAATAAACCATAATTATGTGCATTCTTCTCCTAGGTCTTGTCTATGAAGTCCTGCCCCACAAGTTTCTCAAACTGATACAAATCATGTTTTTAGAGTTAATACATTACAATTCATCCTGGCCATTCATATGCATATATATGACATATGTATAYATGTACATATGTATATGCATATATATGCAGGATCTATATCACTTATACCTGTAAGCGGCTTTTGTTTTCAATAGTTTCTTATAAAAATAGCAGGGATTCTAGGTTTGTTAACAATAAGATGTCAAAAATCTGTTTTTTGTGTTTTATCTATGAATTGTTAATAAAATTTACCCTCTAGTTCATAGAATACCAATTTTCATTTACTATATAATATTGGTATATATTATGGAGTACTGTGTAATATGAGGATACACATATACATTGTAGGATAATCTATCATTGTAAGTAACTTTTCTATCTCCAAAACAATTAGCATTTCTTTGTGTAGGGAACATTCAAAATTCTCTGTTATAGTTCTCTATAAAATACATAATAAATTGTTATGGACTATAGTCACTCTACTGTGCTATAGAATATTAGAACTAATTTCTTCTATGTAATTGTATTTTGATATCTGATAATAAAAATTCATAATTTCCTCCAAGTATTAACTAAGTTAAACACTCAGGAGGAGGGAATACACTATTGCCAGCCTCCTTTTGATACACTGACTTTGCTTGAAAGAGACTTTACATAGAGTATCATTATTATAAACATAATGCATTTAAATTGTAGAGACAGTTATTATATTTAAAAGTCATGAAGGAAAATATGTGGATAAATGATATCACATTCAACCACTGTTATTTAGGTAGATAATATCATAAGGCCATTAAATTTGTCATAGGACCTAAAGTAGCCTTTAGCATAAACAGATCATTTAACCTCTTAAAATCTTATTTGTAAAATGAGTGTCTCTTCCTTGTCTAACTCATAAACAAGAAAGAACTGAGACAATGAATGCAGAAATCCTCTGTAAATTAAAAAGAAATTGTCATCATAATATAAGATATCTGCATTATTTCTAGAGGCCTCTCAGTTTCCAATTTCATATTAGGATTTTTAGCATTTATTAATATTAGCAATTATTTTTAAATCCACAGTGTCAATTATTTTTAAACCTTATAATCAACAGTAATTATTTTTAATCAAAATATTAATTGTATAAAACTATTTTAAATTTTATAAACCCAATGTGTGATATAACAAATATATAAAAAATGAGATTAWAGTTGATTTGAAATTAGAAAAAGAATAAATAATATGACTGTACTGACAAGTTTTACTCGTATTCTATTTTCAAACAATTATGGACTAATGGTGGTACTCTATGATAATTAGACATAAACAAACCATGATTTCATGAATTAATATGCTGCTGTTATCTTTATATGTATACATAAAGAGATTAGACATACAGGCACACCCACATACACAGGCTCCATAAAATTTAATGCCATTTAAATGTGATAATTAAGAGAAAAATTTTAATGTATGGTCAATATGTCAACTAAAACTTAAATATTATTTTGAAGCAGGATATATTCTTGTAACATGACCTCTATAGTATGTAACTGAAAAGAATTTTAATATTCTTCCTGTGGACTTTGATAATAGAAATAAAATATAATATGTAAAGATGGATGTAAGCACTACTACCTATCAAAGGCAGAATCCACTAACTTCAAACTTTAGCTATATATCTTTATKTTATATTTGTGACTATTTTTGCATTGCTCTGTGAAATTTAAAAAGGGGAGTTCATAACCCACTTGAATCTAATGTATGAAATATGATATGTCAAGAGCTTTGTAATGTTTTGAACAACCAATAAAAAAAACATTGGACAGGGAGAGGTGAGCTCATCTTTATCTTTGGAAAAATTGAATCATAATTGGCATATCTCTCACAAGATTGAAAGAGAGGAGAGATTTTTCTTAAAAAAGMTCTTTATTTTTTCTTTTTTTCGGTCAACAGAAATTTGTCATATTGATTTTCTTCACTCATTCTCACCCTCCACCTTCTCCCTATGCTCATTTTTCTCCTCTTCATTTAATTGCTAAATCTGTGAAACAAAATAACCAACATCCTATGACAAGAGTAACTAAAACCACGTGAATGTGATATGTCATAATAAGAATGAAAGAACATAGAATTTATATTATCATTTATAAAATCATATTTTGTTTATTGAGAAAAACCAGATGGGTCATAAAAAGATGATATCATACTTGCATTAAGAAAAGATATGGTTTTGCTTACCTTTAATAATGTTGGGCTTTGGTGGCATGCTGAACTCATAAACTGTCGGTTCAGAATATCCTAATCTGTTGGCAGCTGTAATTTGAACTTCATATCCCATTGTCCACTGTAGATGCTCCAAAATAATGTGATCTTTATTTCCCTGCACTTTCTTCTCTAACCACTGGTCTTCCTTATCTTTCTGTGAAGGAAATAAAAGTATATTTTGTAAATATTAATAAAATTGTGATTTTTTTAAACAATTAATTTTAATATGAAAAAAGTGGACACATTTCCTTATGCAGATGGATATATGAAGTTGCTATGTCAATGAAGTCAGTATTATTTTTATCACCTATCTACATAAAATGTTATGCCTATAGTACCCAAGTAATAATTTTATAATTAATGTTTGATAATTCAGTAGTTTTTCATTCATTGACATTATTTTTATTTTAAGTTTGTATATATTAGTTGAGTTTTAGTTCACTTGGATGATTATTAAGAATACTGTGAACTGGACATATGAAACAAAATATATACAAAAAATCTTATATGATCCTTAAAATATTCACTAGAGACTATTAAACTTTTGGGAGAGGAGTCTTGAAATTAAACTCTGGATATCATTATAGATTATATTACCACTGTTTTTTTTTAAGAGAGAGAGAGAGAATTTAAATATTTATTTTTTTAGTTTTTGGCAGATACAACATCTTTGTTTGTATGTGGTGCTGAGGATCGAACCCAGGCCACACGCCTACCGCTTGAGCCAYATCCCCAGCCCACCACTGTTTTCTTAATGCTATGATATTTTATGATTCAGAATGAGACAGCTTAGAAGAAAAAATTAGCATAATAAAATTAAAGAAAGTTATTTCTATTTTTAAAGAAATGTATACATAGTTCTATTTGATTCATTTTCTAAAATAAGAGTTTTAGATCGTACACTATTTGAATTGCTAGTTACTTTTCACAAATATAAAAAACAATAACATGACTTCTACAATTAACACAGAAAAACAAACTGGTATATCAATATAATTTTATCAATTAATAGAGTCACAAGAATGTGATCATTGTGTTATACCACATATTAAAGATGAAAACCAGGCAGTTTCCTTAATCTTCCCATTTTGTTCCCTTCTCATTTATAACAGAAGTGGTTTCAGCAGCTGGCTCAATCATATTTCTTCATAGAAAAATGAGGAAAACCTAATAAACTGGGTATTCTATGACCTTAAGAATCAAAACCATTAAAAATGGTAGCCAATATTAATAAATCACCTCTTTTCATAATAACTATATACCAAATCAGGCAACTGGCAATGCTCATGGCATAGTCCAATTTTTATTGGAATTTTCCATGGAATGTTCTTATTACATCAAATTCATGTAAGGTGAAACTTTGATACTTTTTTATTTTCAAATTACAGCAAATTCCAAGTTAATGTTCAAATCATTTTTATACTTACATAAAAATTGGTAAATTAGAGTGTAAATATTTAGACAGGTATTTACTAGAAAGATTGATGATCTTAAGGATTGTTTTCAGTCTAATTACAAATACTTAACAAGTTGACTCAAGTTTTTAAAATTGTAAACCATATTTTCATTTTAAATCTATCAGAGTCAGTTCTTTGGAATTTCCTCCATATTCAACCTTTACAGTTGATGATGCCAGAACACAATAGTGAACAAGAAGTGTAAAATATACTTATCKTACTGTTTATAAACCAACACAGAAGAAAGCTACAAATTCTCTGAATAATCAAGCAAGGGAATTCTTGACAGGGAGATGTAATAGAGTCAGGAATCAGACAGGTCTCCTAAGAACATAATGTCACTCTTACTAGAAAAATAAACCCATGTGCCATTTTCTTTTCATTTTTTCCTAATCTAATAACAAAGGTGTAAGTCCTTTATAGTGCATAAAAACAATGATTTTATATCTTATAAAGATTCATAACCACTAGGGGATATAAAAGACACTGTAGACTAATTTTTTTTCAAGTAGATTAAAAATTACTAGAGGCTATAAAGACAAGGGCCACCCAAGGCAGCAGAGCTGTTCATGCCCCTGTGGCTTCGGCATTACCCCAATATTTTCTGTATATTCTTTGTAATTATAAAGCATTTTGTATAATCTGTGAGAATCTGCGTAGTCAAATTTTGTTTTGGATTTAAGTGAGTCAGAAAATAAATCAATAGCAGATCTTTATTACCCAAGGATAACATTTATTCTTCAGAGAAATGGATAGGTTTCATGTCCTTCAAATAATCCTCCAAAAATATAATTTCTGAGACTTGAGCATTTGAGATGAAACTTCTTGACAAGTACAAGACACACAGGTAGTCTCCTCTGATTTAACAGTCATTTAACTCTTAATTGTGGAAGCCCTTAACGTGGTAAATTTAAATCCTCTCAATTATTTTAGACTGATGGTAAAAGGAACCAAAGGGAGATCTAATATTTCTTCAATATAAATCAATTTCATTTCCATTCAACATTAGACAATGAGGTATTTTAATCCCTTAATTGCTATTCCTAGGGAATAGGAAAAAAAAATTAAAGTGGGGTGTTACCAAATACTCCCCTAGGCATGAAAATCTCAATTAGGCATTTGTAGAGTGCCTAATTTACAGAAAATTCCCAGGGAACAATTTAAGATAACTAGTTGCAAAACGTTCCCCTAGGTAAGTTAATGAGATGATTTGCTGAATGGGGCTATTATTAATAAGCCAATTACATGTTGAAGGGCAGCTACTGAAAAAAATGGTCATTTTACTTTGATATATCTCTTATTAAGCAATCCTTTTTGTCAGAAAATAGATAGCAGGGCCATATGTGAATTGGACACTTCTTAGTAGTAATTATGAAGTCATAACATCATAGAGACAGATTTGCTATCCTCCATATAGGTAGGGGGTCAGAGGAAAGGTAGAAGGAGTCATAACATTTTTTAATTTGTAGAAGCTTCCTCATTGTGTTTATTCAGAACAAGCAGTAGTCCATTAACTTGCTTTACAGGTTTCATGGGATGTACAGCCAAACAAATCATTAATAAAAACTGAATAATTATAAAATCAGTGGACAATAAAGAAGATGAATTCATTATAGGTAGACTGATTTTAGGTTCTTCTGACTCTTTTGATGTATGATTTCCAATTTTCTATGGACATAAAGCATTTTCTAGGTTTCTGGATTTCCAGGCAGCATGGTTCAGTTGATATTTGTATGACTTTGTAAAAGGATACAGGATTCTGCAAATTCAGATTGCTACTGTGACTATAAGACAGGTGATTTARCAACCAGGATAACTCACATATATATAAATATTTATATATACATGTATTTTATATATATAAGCATATATTTATATGAAAATAAAAACATGTATGAAACATAATTTCTCATGAGATTTGGGAACATTAGAGTTTGGACAATTTTAGCACAAACCTTTTAAATTGTTATTTATTTTTTCAATTATGATAAGTAACTCAAATTGCCTTTGTTCCATGTCCTGAAATTTGGTAAAATTTTGAAAGATGAGTCCTATATAATATGTCTGTAAACCTTTATCACCCACTTACTACTCAAGGGAATAAAAATATAATTTTTTTTCTGGTCATTACATTCTGTGTTCTCACATCCATTAAAACCTTGCATATAGCAAAGCATCTTCTTCACAACTGATTTTTAAACTTTATTCTTTTTGCATTCATTATTTCTCATATTTATGAATCTATTATAAGACTATATATAATTGCATAACATGAATTGATTGATTCCCTGATGCACGTATTCCTTCTGACAACAAATACTCTATTTTATACTATCAATACAAACACGAACAAAACCATCCCCTTATTTTACAACAAAGAACCTCCAATAAAGCACTTCATACTTTTTAATGCTCAAAGTTATTCATGTTTAAAAATATTTCAAAACTGAGGCCAATAGCTTTAAATATATTTCAATGTGCACATTAAAATATTATTAACTAAGAAGTTCACTCAACAAAAGYTCAACTTTATTATTTATCATTTTAATGCCCTTTTTAAACTTATCTCTTCTTTCTGTTCCAATTGAGATATTATACAACCTCCCAGACTCCAAATGACTTAAGAAGGTCAATTAAGACATAAAAACATATGTTATAACCATTGTTGTTGGTCCCTAAGGCACACTCCTCACAATTGATTTTRACTTACCAATTTTCCTGAGCCTTTCTTAGCTCAAGAAAACTATTTAATGTGCCCCACTAAGTGATGGTTATGATCCCATAGCTATCATCAAATTAGAAGAAAAATTGTGAAAAACTCATGGAGTTTTAATTAATTTATTAAATTATGTGGAGTTATATTGACAGTTCAAGTACAAAATATATGTGAATATTCTGTATTAAAACAACTTCTGCATTTTTCTAAATACTTCATTTGGTTAATACCTTTGTCTTTACCTCCAAATACATGATTTAATCTTASTACCCTATAGTTAGAGGTGTTAATTTTCATGAAGGATCCAGAGAGACATCTCATTCAGATCTTATTATTCTAATTCTATTCTAACAAATTCTGTTGTCTTGATGTGTGAGTGAAGGAACCCATGTGCTTTATTTCAGGGTAACATAGGAAAACATGTGCTTCCTGATTCACAATCTACAGAAATTTACATACTATCTATCTGTATTTGTAAATGGGAAGTCCAGTGTTTTTCCCTTAACATATTAAATGCTTATACTTAGTGTGTGCTAGAAATCAAGAATCATATAAGGAGCATATTRTCTCTGTTATATTGCTCAGAATACAAAACATACTCTYGTSTACAATAGATTTGAAAGAAGAAATCTTGTGAAAATCTTAGGGGTGTTAATTATTTTCCAGATTCTCTGATTTTTTTTCCATAGAGGTTATCTAGTTAAAAATTGAATTTCTTACCTCTCAATCATTTTTCACATTATTAAATTGGAACTTTGCTCACTATGAAATTCATGAGGGTTTAGAAACTAATAGATGAAGTGGTTTTGAACATACCAAAAGAACAGATGCTMAAGTAAATCATTTCAATGCAAGGAAGAATATCAAGTCAAATGCCATTTTAAACACTTAGTGCCAAATGCTCTTGGAAAAAAAAAMCACATTTTTAAATGTCAAGAAAAATGTGAATAAAATTGTCCCTTTGTAAGATTAGCTATTTGCTTAAACACATTAATATAACTTCTTATTTAATCATAGTACCTTGAATGGGACCTTCAAAGCAAGAAACTTGTAGATGAGAGAGATAGAAAATATAAGATGGACAAAATATAAGAGTATGTAGAATAGTTTAACACATTGAAGTGGAAGGCATACTACTAAACAATATGCTAAGAGGAAAGTGTTCCAGAATGGCTGTATTTGGAAGCACAGGACCTGAGCAGCTAAGGTTAAATGAGGTGGTGGCTGAGGTGTTGATGTAATTTCACAGGCAGATGTTTATGTGGATACTATGCCTGCAAACTGTGTTAAGTTTGTATAGTCTTATCTTCTGTTATCTGCACCTTCTCTTCACCAAGTCACCCAAATTTTCTGTTTCAGTTTGTCCTTCAAAAATGTGAAAAGTTATCATTTATATTTGATTATAAAATACAACATTTACAAGAGTGAGCAATACTTTTCTTGTAAGTCAAAACAACATAGAAAACTTACCTTTTCAAAACTTTTTATAGGTGCCAAAAATTCTGTTATTAAAACAGTATTCACTATTAAAGTGCTAGTGGCTCAGGGACAAGTGATATAGTAATAGATTATCAGTTAATTTGGTCATTTTTAAATTAATGCAATAAATCATTTCCATTATAATATTGAAAACTGAGCCTTCAGTATTTTTTGGAATTTGAAAGGGTGGAAATTGGTAATGAAGAGGAGGGGAAGAGGAAAGAAGGAACTGGGTAGGAACAAATATTTTGGGGATAAACAAAATTGTTGGATAAATAGCAAGAAAAATAAGATATTATTGGAAGATAGACATTTACTTAAGATAAAATTGGTAACTGTTAAATTTTAAGCTAAGGCTCAGCCATATCAAGTTAATTCTGTGGTATCAACTATGTGAAAGTTACATGTATTGATAACCATTATGTAAACTTGCATCTTTCTTACTTTGCTAATTTCATTATGATTAACAACRTAATTATTTGGATCTAGATGTGTTTCATACAACCTTTTCAGAAAAGCTAAATTGTAACCCACATTTAAAGAAGTCAAATAAGTGCAAAGTCAACTTTAAATATTAATTTGTTTTAAAATAAACTATATTTATATACATACACACACACACACACACACACACACACACACACACCACACATATTCCTGAATGTCTGAAATGTCATTATTTACATTTTGTGACTATAACTGGCTACAAATCTGAGTAGGAAATTGCCTGGGGCTACTACCAGCAGTGCAGTGAATGGGAGGCAGTGATGTGAAATATTCTGCCTTGGTTGATAGTGCTTTAGATCCTCAAAATGAAACCTCCCCAAATGCCACTTCTGTGCCTTTCAGATACGCATTATCAGTGACAACCATTAAAATGATAAAAATGATCACRTTAACAGCTCAATCCTCACATTAGTAACACTTTATTTAAAAAGGTCATCCGATAGATTTCTATATGATGAGAAAAAATTTTCATTTGCTTGGTGGTATTTTACTAAAAGATTCACTATATTGCTAAAACAGGAGAAGGATTCAGCTAACTGGCTTATCCCTTCTTTTGTTGTTTCAAGTCTCTTCACATTGGGAATATGTACTAAAGCCACCTTTTTAGGAACATCCTCTATATGGGGATAAAGGCCAACACACTAAGAATAAAAGAGTATGAACAAAMATAGCTTGGATTCCTGATCATATTTCTAAGCTACTATCCTAAGTCTGCATTATCTAACAAATATACTTATTTAATTCAAAAAAAMCCCAAAATCATCTTAATTTAATTTAGTAACTTCAATTAATTATGTTTTCTATTGCCTGAAACCCAAATGTACATTATATCAAATAAACAGTCTATATCAACTTGAAGAGTAAAATTTACATAAAATCCACTTTCCAGGAATGAGATATCCCTTAAGTTTTGGGTAAATATGTAATAGTATTTCTTGAATTTGTATTAAATGGAGAACAATGCATACTGTGTGCTGTAGTATTCTTAGTTACTGAAGTATACTTTTAGATAACTGAAAATGTGAACAAAGATGAAAAAAGTTAATCCAACAGAAAAAATCACAGCATTTGTAAATTATGCCTGATTTCTTAATAAAAGGCACTAATAAAAGAAATGAAGAAAAGATACAGTGTAAAATAATAAATATTTTCTATCATCTTCAATTGAAATTAACAAGTCTGGTTTCACTGAATTTGTGCTATTTTCTACTATCAACTTATTAGAAAAGATAATCAAATATAGCTTTAATTTTAAATAAAAATTATATACATAAAATATATGACATATCCTCACAACTAGTTATTGCATTTTTWAAAAATATTATTATTGTAGATGGACACAACATCTTTGTTTATTTTTATGTGGTGCTGAGGATCAAACCCAGGGCCTCACGTGTGTGAGGCAAGCGTTCCACTGAGCTACAACTCCAGCCCTAGTTATTACATTTTAATGTTCTCTAGTGGATGTGACTGGAGTTCTTTACACATTGTCAGAATATACCTGTATATTATACCATCAGTTCTTCCAGGTGTAATTGTAGGTTGGCTATAACCTGCATGGAAGGCCTCTTGTTCCAGTACAATTCATCAATTTAATGCAAACCAATGTGCCTTTGAGAGAGAATCTCTGCCTTCCATATAACATCCAGATGAACAAAAGAGAATGTTCAAGGGACTTGGCCTAAGTAGCAAGACACTCTCACACCCCCGAGAGACCAATAGTGCTTTCAGAGCTGTCTTGTTGTCAAGGAATGAAGCCTGCACAGCAGAGTAAGCAACAGACTCATGGCTGCCCATCACTGTCAGCAGGAAATCTGGACCAAAGAATTGTCTTGTGAAGGGAACATTTATAATAAATTGGAAAGACTGAAATGAAATGTAAAAGTAAACATGGAAGCAAGGCATTCACAATCAAATTCCCCTTTTATCACTTTTCAAAACCTAGGTGTTTAAATGTAGAAGAGCAATATTATAATTTAGAATATTGCGGATTGTAGGAAAATATTGATATTTTTTCCACATGCTATTAAGAAGCACACTTTATAACCCATTTATAGCAGACACAATCAATGTTACTTACGGAAAAGGTTTAAGTGGTTTTTGGTATCATTGTCAGCTAAGGAGGTAAAGTCCATGGGGACACTTGTTTCTTGGCACTCCATAGCCAGCAAATCTTACGCTTCCCCCATGTCTGTCAACAGTACTCGTGAAGCTCTGGACTTCATTTATTAACTACAGCTAACTAAACTTGAGGAAAATGAATCCCATTTCCTAAAGTTTATTGTGCTCATTCTTTGCTAAATGTTAAGGACAAAGTAATCTAATTATTTGATTATAATAACTTATTCTGAGGTGTGATTTGCTAATAATTCTACCCAAAGTATAAATAATGCACAAGAGGATATTGCCCGAAGTTACTAATATCAAGTGTAATGGAAAGTTAAAATGCACTGGGAAACTTGTCAGAAAAATAAGAAAAATGGTATGTTCTTTCTGACATGTTGCCAATTAATATTTCACACCAAGAAATTAGAATATGCAATCCAAGAGATTATTTTGAAGCTCCATTTTTACATTTCACCAAAGGGGGAAAAATAATAATTTATAATAATGAATATCAGGATTGAATATACATTTTCCTGATCTATTAAAGTAGTGTGACTCAGTGTCAGTAGAATTTGAAACATCTGATACAAAATAATAATAAATAAGGTACTTACACTTCTGTATTTCACTATGTATTCCAAAATAGGGGCCCCTCCATCATCCTGTTTGGTGATACTGAGTTTAAAACTCTTCCCACTGCTTGGCTGTCCGTGTATGGATGGAGGACTTGGTTCACCTAGATACGCAATACAACATTTCTTCATTTGCACACATGTCACATACCTAGAGAAACTGCATTTTAATAAGAGGAACAAGGTCATATTATCAAATATATATTTTCCTGGATTCTATACTTGATATTTGCTCTTTGTTATGAAGTGACCTCAGGTCTGATTTACTTATCCGAGAATCTTCAACATTCAGAAATCTGGAAGTATCATGCCAAAATTGTGGTGAGACATATTATTTATATTGATGTGCAAATACTCGAGGACAGTATTGATTATTCAAATGTAAAACTTTATTTCTCTTCTTATAAATAGTATATAATCCTAAGTAACTTATTAATGTAAATTTACATTGCAAAATTTGTTACCTGCTTTCATCAGCATTGTGTTCCATAGATATAAATTCGAACAGTTTGTAGTTTCCAATTCTTTGGACTGTTTTTTTTTTTCCTTTTTTTTCAGTATTGTACTATTTTTAGTTTCATCATATATTTGCCTTTGATACTATTCTTTGTGAACACTTGACATAATAGAGATGCTAATAAATTTTGAATAAAACAAGGATTCACTTATGTGTAAAACTTTTCTAAGGAGGGATACCATTACTGTTTGGTGACTTGGAATGGGGACTCTCTGCTGTGTGTCACTGATTTGATATGCTTGGCATGCTCTGGCATCTATCTCTGTTTCCTACAGTTCCCTAAGGATATCGTTATGGCTATGAGTATGGTTACAGAAAGGGTAAGACTAAGGATAAAACAAAACTTTAGTTTTCAGTGTTTCAGAACACTGTCATTACCCAGTTCACCCAGAGGAATGTAAAGGCAGACAAACAAGCACAACAATGAGAAGAGGACTGCATGCTGCTGGTCTGCAAAAACTTGGTTCTGTTTGATTAGTTTTGTTTTCTCAGCAAGTTATCTTTATTTCTAMTGTGGTATTTATAACCTTTAGTAAGTAAGTAAATTCTTTTAGAAAAGGTTATGTCACAGCTGGGCATGGTGGCTCAAACCTGTAATCCCAGCAACTTGGGAGGCTAAGACAGGAGGATAGCAAGTTCAAGACCAGCCTCAGCAACTTCGTGAAACACTAAGCAATGAGCAATTTAGCAACACTCTGCTTCAAAATAAATAAAATAAAATACAAAGGTCTAAGAAGTGTTTCAGTGCCGTCATGTTCAATCYCCAGTGCCAAATAAATAAATAAATAAACAAAAACAAAAAAAGTAGGTTACTAAAGCAATATGACAATGAGATTTGTTGGCATATAGATAAGAAAATAAGTAGAAAAATAGATCCACATGTTATAGCTATATTGAAATAGAATCAAGGAATTGTAGAATAAATTTCCAAAAAGTYAATTAAATTAGCACATGGGTGTAATAATCCAACATAATTTGTATGTAAGAAATAGAATAATATTTTGGCTAAGTGAATTGAAACTTCTGTAAAGAGTGCAATAATTTATTAAAAGTAGTTAGTTATCAGGGGAAAMCAAAGTATTTAAAATGAATTATAAATCTCAGGTGGTTTCATATAATTTCTAAATYAGAACTGAGAATTTCCATGTTGTATATTACAAATTTATTTAATAGCATGACTATAATAATTTTAATAATAATATTTGAAATGTTATGAAGCAGAAACTATATTTTCAGAAGTGAATGCTTTACAAATATATTTTAAATATTGATGCATACATTTAACTGTTAAATAGATCCACTGTTGATGTTGATAAATCAAATTATTATTTCATTTCAATTGATATTTCCTTTGAAAAATAAAATTCAGAACAAATGTAATATTGGTTCTACTGGAATTAAACATACTGAACTAATAGTTTTTGTCTTTTATTACAATAGAATGTTTATGCAAAAGTAATAATATCAATAATAATCACTGACTATATATTAAGTACTTTTCATTTATATTTTTTCATTTTTACTTCAAAAAATCCTGAGAAGCAACTAAATACATACTGATTTTTTTAAAGATCCAATGTACCAGCTTTCAAATTATTCATGGTATTTGGGAGAGATATGTGCCCAAATGTAAAATTGGAGAGATCATCCAGACTTGAATGGAAGAGAACATGTCTTCATTGTAAACTGATTTACAGTGACCCTGGGTTTCACCAGAAGTAAAGAAATCAAAACAGACTGCAGAGTTTTATAGAGAAAGGAAACATCCTTTCTCTTATTCAACCTCCAGATGGAGAGGGCTTTGGGGCAGCAGTGGAGGATGGGTGAGGCAGAGGCCAGGCAAAGCTGTGTCTGGAGGGAAAGTGGGTAGGTAGGAAGGTGAAGGTATGGTTGAAAATTTTAAGAAGAATCAATAGAAACTTCTTGGTCAAAATTAAGAATTTAGTTAGGCCAATTTGGCTAATGTTTGTATCTGATAGGTGATTGTATGCACTTATTTTATAAGTCTTCTGCCATATTCATTTTGGTTTCTCATATAACTTCACATAAACTAAATACCTCAGAACAGCATAGTTACAAAGAAAAAGGTTACACAGTTTGTTTTCTCTTGCAGTCACTTTTGTAACTAATTAACTGAATGTTTCCTTTTTTGTGTCACTTAAGGGATAAAGGGAACAGTCATGGCTCAACAAAAGAACAGAATATTGGTTATRTTAAATAAACATTTTCCACTATCTCACATCATAAAGTTTGAATTCTAAAATCCAAATAATTAGCTGGTGAATAGAAAATTTCCTGATAGCAAATTTTAGGCTATGCATTTCACTGCTCCTTTCCTTTTTTGCCTACCTTTAAAGCAAWGTTATATTAATAACACAAAGATGCCACCATCTTTAGAAATCACTTTAASAGAGGCATGATTTATTTTCCCAAAGTGTTAAAACATACTCCTGTATTTAAAGATTCCACTAAAATTGCCAATGAAGAAAAGGGCAATACAGAGCAAAACACAGATGATTACTTACGAACTGGCAATGTTTGGAAGATTTCTATTTTACTGTAGTCCCCTTGCCCTTTTCCATTTACAGCTGCAACCCTGATTTCATAAGTTGTATTTGGTTCCAGGTTGCTCAAAACAACCATTGCTGAAAGAAAAAAAGAAAAWATATATATAAATATGTGAATATAAACCTATGTTTAATGTGTTTCAATAAGGAAAACAGATTAGCTTGTTACAATGTTGAATATATAATTTCACTGTAAATATTTCTGTGAACTACCTGAAAAAAAAAGGATGGTCACATTAGAAAATAATAATCTATAAAATTCTCCTCTTCACTTCTATTTTAGCTTTCTGATCCCAAATAATAACATTCAAAGAAAAAAAAAWTTAAGTTCCTTTTTGCGATACATATTCTTAGATAATATAAAATAAAATATGTTCTCTCATTTTTATATTGTCCAAGAAATAGGAATGTGGTAAATAATCTTTTCTGTATGTATCCCATAAGAGATGGCAAGTAGGATTAGGATTCTAAGTCAATTATTTCTACAGAATTTAATAGAGACATGCAATTCAACATACAGATTACTGGCCACTGATGTGAGGTGCTTCAGTTATGTTAAAGAAGTGTCACAAAATCAAATATACAGTAAAAGTGGATCATTTATTTTAGAATCTCAAATGAAATCAAACTACTTTTAATACTAGTTTAAAGTATTCTTTCCTCATTCTCACAGTATCTTTCCTCTGAATTTCTTCTCAAAACAGAATAGTTATGAGAAAAAAAAAGAGTGATTTTTCCCTGCAGTCAGGAAACAAAATGTATGTGCCCAAATGTATGAAGAAAAATAAAACTGGAAAGGTTATAGGTCAAATGGCAGAGATCATGTTTTTATTGCAACAGATTAACTTTATATAGATATAATATATAGTAAACTACCCTACTAGTTCTGGATTCAACATGACAAATAAAAAGGAAGAACCTGAAAAGATACAATGAAGTAAAGGTGATTTGACAATGTTGAATGCAAGTGTGAATTTCAAAATATTATACCTTCACAAGTTCTCTGATGAAATTTATAAACTTACATAGATGTCTTTATCTTTAGTCTCTTTGGATAAAGAGCAATAATTTTATGAGTTTAAATGGACATGTCTTAATGACAATCAAAAGGAAATCATGTCTGCTTTACATAACAGAAACAAGTCAAATGATAAATTAATAAYAGAAGATATAATCAATCACAAAATAAAATATAGAATTATATAAGTAATCAGGACCATATTTTCAATGCTATTGAGTTTTTAAACTGTGGGTGAAAAATGATTGACATTTAACAAAATACCAAAGTAATAATACATTTTTCAGATGATTACATTGTCATATATATTCACTAGATGACATTTTCATTTTTACAATGTCTGAGGACACTTAATAAATTTGTTTTGGTACTTCTGTTCCATTCTTTCCCCAAATATTCCTTATCATTGTATTTGTTTAGTTTTTCATATTGGTAATTACTACATCTTCACTGAATTATTCATTAAGCTCTATAAAAGAAAAATAATTTGTTGAATGTACTGTAGAGATCTTTTCTTCACCTAAAATACGAAATTAAATATGTAAATTATGGAACTCCAGATAAAYATTACTTAAGAGCAGAGTCTATATATCAACCAGAACTGATTTTTAATTCTTAATTTGTTTTATTGAAACAATATGCATATTTTAGGGGCACCATACTTTATTTTGACACATATAYACACTGTTTAATGTTCAATAAAGAAAACCATGTTTATATCCTCAAATACTTACCATTAATTTGTGGTGAAAATATTTCAAATAGTTTCTTCTAATTTTAACCAGATTTTATGTAATCACATAGAGATGTTTTAAAATTGGCAGAAAGAATAAATTTCCAACTGAAAAATTCAGGTCTGTATATCTCTATTTCTTTAACTTACCAGGAAATTAAAATTGCTCTTGAGAGAGTGAATCACCTGTTAAGTCTCAGATTATAACACAAAATGTCATATTGAAGGGAGAGAAATTAGGGAAAACTGATTCACAGAGACATTTGATTGGTGGGAAGCTGAAAGGATAAATAGGAAAATAATGGCTTGAACACAATGATTCCTATTAGATTTTTCAGGAAAGCCAACTCCAGTTCATGATCAGGAATCAATTAATATATAATATGAGCTCCAGAAAAAAAAATGTAGTTACAATGCAGAGAAGATRATTGCTTGCATGGGTCTTCTYATGTAGATTATGGAAAACAAGAAAGAATCTAAATTAGATTTGTATCTTAAATGCTAAGAAGTTGGAATTCTGAYATTTATAGGGAAAGCTTCTACTCMAAGCCAGCATAACCAAGAATTCACAAGTAACAGTGCTATCCCACTCCTCTGTTTATAACCAAAAGATTTTAAATCGGCATATGACAGTGATACAGCCCTATCAATGCTTATAGCAGCTCAACTCACAATAGCCACACTACGGAGCCAAACAGGTRCCCTTCAACAGGTGAATGGATAAAGAAAATATGGTATATATACACACAGTGGAATATCAGTCAGCCATAAAGAAAGATGAAATATAGTATTTGCAGGTAAATGGATGGGGCTCAATAATATCATGGTAAGTAAAATAAGACAATCCCCCCCAAACCAAAGGCTGAATGTTTTCTCTGATAYACAGATGCTAATTCACAATGGGGCCAGGGCTAGGGAAGAATAGAGATTCTTTGGATTTGACCGAGAGGAGTGAAAGAAGGGGAGGAATATAGGGGTAGAAAGAAYAGTAGAATGAACTGGATATTATTACCTTATGTGCACATGTGACTACACAATTGGTATAATTCCACAACATGTACAAACAGAAGAATGAGAAGTTATACTTCATTTGTTTATGTGTCGAAATGCATTCTATTGTCCTGTATAACTAATTAGAACAAAATTTTTTAAAAAGTTAATCTTATTTTGTCAATTTAATTGGTAACAAGCATAAGTAAAACTAAAAGCAAAGGGAATAACATCTGCTGTTCTTCAAAGACAGATTTTATAAGAATGTGTTTATTCTTCAAGGCATAAAGCAAAAAGTATTCTTGTGGATAAACAGTCTGACATCATGGTGCTGTCAGTATTCGATGATATACTTCTTTCCCCCAGGGAAGCATGACTTGATGTAGCATGGACACATTAGGAGAGAAGACTCCAGGATCTCTGACTGCAATGACTTCTGAAGTAAGACACAGCAGTATGATGCATGACTTCTGAAAGAAGTCATGGAGCTTTGGGCCTGGTCTCATCATTGACTGGATCCAAGCAAGTCTTATAGCCAAGTTGGCCTATCAATTTTTAAATAGACTTTCATATTAAATGTCATGAACAAAGGCATAAAACCAAATTTAAAAAAGATGTAGATAAAATGATTTATAGTTGGTGAAAAAACCACCACCATGCCTCCTTTACCTATGAAAATGGGAATATTATCTGYTGTCTGTGAGATAATACAAAATCATATGTAGCTCCAAAGTGATTCATGTTTTACTATATGTCTGATGACTAAAAACTATGTATAACTGCTAAATATGCTTATAGTAATATTCACTTAAAATATTAATCACCATTTACATGGATAATCTACAGAGTATTAGAGTATTTGCTACATAAGAATATATGAGAGTTTACTGTTGCTAACAGCATCAATATTTCATGTTTCTCCAGATTTTTGTAATGTACAGTTGTAGCTGTGATCGTCATTGTAAGGGCATGCAGTAAATTGTTTCATAGCTACATCAATCAGGGCAATTGGAAATGTTCATACTCAATGATTCACCTTGAAAACAATTCAACTGGAAAACAACAGAATTTGAAGCACACGATTTTAATTGCAAACAAAATTCCTCATAAATCAGAAGTGTGGAGATCAATACTAGGTGTTGGCTAAAAATAGAAAATAACAGATCCATTAAAGTATCAGAACATATTTAATCAGAGGAAAATCAAGTTTGTACTTCCTTTAACAATAATAACACCCACCCCTCAATTTTTTTTTCACATTTTACTTGAATTATCTGCTTATTTCAGGCAAAAGTTCTTTCTAGCCAGCTSGTCAGCATTCTCCTTTTTCAAACATTTCATAGGGGCTATGACAAGTCTAGAGTGTCCCACAAGGGCTACCAAAGGAAACTACTTTTTTATTTACATTGTGATCAGATCAGAGTGAATTTGATTGTTTCCTCACCTTCTATTCTCCACATCAAGGTTTCCCTGTTACTAAGTTTCACAGCAAAGTAATTGGCAGGGGAGAGGAGCAAARTGGGTAAAAATAAAGGTTAACCTGTTATAACAGTGGGCTAAAACACTTAACCTTACACTGAATGAGGGGAGGGCGTATGGATGATCTTCAAAATTACAGGGGAAAGGCTTGAAAGTAAACCTCTTGATGCAAGTTTTACAAAGATCATGTACGAGATGTCAGTTTGGTTTTGAGTTCTGAATTTAAAGGTTTTGGTATAATAGCCCTTATTTGCGGCTTATTAACATTCTGTGAAAATAAAGATCATTGTATGAAATAGAAAGACTGCCATAAATGGACTAAATTAAAGAGAGGACAAGGAAAAAATTCCAGGGAGGCCAWCCTGGAACTGTAATTTGCCTTGACTTTCTTAAATAAGAGGATATATACATAAATCATCCATAATTTACTGGCATATTACCAAACACAGGGTTTCTGAACATGTTCAAGCTAGGGCTTGAAAGCAAACCACCACTTGAAATACAAAAGGCTGTGTACTCTATAATAGAATCTTGCCTCAAATTACCAAGCTTGTTAATGGAACACATTTTTTTCCCTTAAATGTGACCATACAATAGAACAATGGAACTACAAACTGAGGTGTAGGGTGGGTGCTTTCCCTATAATTTATTAGAAATTCAAACTAAGAATTTAGGTGGAAGTAGAACTGGATTATAAAATAGTAAAAGTTCTGTATGGTCAAATTTTGTAAATTAATACACATTATAGCTATATTAAGCTAGCATGATTTAGAAATCATAGTGYAATTCTTCTGAAATTTATAGTCAACTAGATTTCATTGTTATGGCACAGGTATGAACTCTGCAAAGCAGATGGTT